TGCGCCGAAGCCGCTCTACCAAGTCGAACCGCAGCCGCGGCAGCTTCCTGGACACCGAGTCTCAGCGCAAGCCTAGGGATTACTCCCCATAAACTGGTCTTGAACGAGGAAGAAGTGGTCCAAGTGGATGAGGTACAACAAGGACCATTTGGAGGAAAACTGATCTTTTACGCGACGATATCCACGATTTGATTTTGTAATGAACGAACATAATACCTTGCTATAGCGCGCGAGTTAATGCTAGTATTGTACATATGCACATATAGCAAATACACTTTAACCAAAACTATATTCCAAATGACCATCCGATGAAGTTGATCGATATAAACAAAGGTATTCGGACAATACGCTTACGAAACACGTACCAATCCAGTTTCATTCCCCCTCCCACCAAGTCTCAAACATGCCCCCAGTGCCTCCCAAATCCAACACCTCACCACGTCTCCCTCCTCCAACGCCCTTCTCAACCACAGTCCACAAATCAAACGGCACCAACTCATCCTCACTATCGACCATATCCTCATCCTCGTCGTCCTCATCCCCGCCACTAACACCCACATACGCCGTAACCCCCCTACAACTAGCCACACATTCATCCATCAGATTCCAATCTCCATCTGGAACCGCAAGTTCCAACTGCGGGTCGCCGAGCCCCTCGTAGCGCATGATCGGCGGCGCGCCATTCGATAGCGTGTATGTAGTTTCGCGGCCCGTCAGGCGTGAAGTGTACGTTTGAGGTTGACCACGCTTGGAAGGCAGGACGACGGTGTGTGCTTCGTAGTCTGCGAGGGCGGCGTTGTATTGAGGCGGAGTGAGCTTTTGTTTTGTGTAGAAGGAATTGGCGAGGAGGCGGGAGCGCGCGGTGTGGCCTTCTATTAGGGCGATGGCGGGGTGGGGGATGTAGCGTGTTGTGCTTCTCTCTTGTCCTCCTTCTGCGTCTCCATTTCCGTTTCCAGGTTCTTGTGAAGTTGGAGTTGGAACAGCAGCAGACCACGGCGCCGCAACACCCATTCCTCCCTCTCCCAGAAACTGGTTCCAGGGCTTCACACCACTAACCCAAGGACCGGTGTCGTACTCCCCCACAGGACACATAGCCTCACCTCTTGGATCATAGATGACCTGGTCCCACGAATCCGCCTCTGTCCTCCTCCCCCAAATCGTGACTTCGAACAAAGTAATGGTGTCGCGGACTGCTTTCTCAAAGTCTCTGGCGCGCGCCACGCCGATGAGCGCGGCGCTGTGTTCGATGGTTTCGTCAAGCACGGTTTCGTAGGGCAGGATGTGCGCGCTTTCTTGCCAGATATCCAGTAGGTAGAACCAGATGGATTGCATAAGTGGGGTGTCGATGGGGTGGAAGTCGGCGAAGTAGTCGAGGAGGGTGGCGGCGCATATCCAGTATTTTGTGGTGAAGGCGGACTCGCAGTCGTCGCAGGGCCAGAGGTATTGGGGGTGGTGCGGACATGGCGGGTGGATGAGGAGGGATTTGATGCGCCTGTAGGCGATGGAAAAGTCGATGTCGTTGCGGCCGAATGTGTAGCGTGTGGCTATTGCGGGTGTTGTGGAGTGGTCTGTCACTAGGATGATGGGTGGCGGCGGCATTGCGACGGGCTTTAACGAGCGAGAAGCCATCGCGTCGGCAACTAGACCTATGTGAGCTGACTTTAGTTAGTGGTAAGAGTGTTGTTTGTGGAGGGCGAGTAGCAATCGAAGTTGATAGAGTAGTGCCAAGACTTGCTGCCTTGCACAATAGATTCAACTTGAGCGGCACACAATAAGAGTCGTAGTGAGAGTGAAAGAGATCCATCGCGTCCGAAGAACCGTACCAAATCGCTCCCGTCACGCCTACCACTTCGACATGCGACTAAGTGTACTCATCCTCCCATGCTGCATGTTGCTCAACAGCGCTTCCTCTAGCGCCGACTGACTGATACCTGCATCTGTCCGATGTGAGTATATCAACTTAAGGGTGGATAATCCCAGGACTCACCATCAATGTCGCTGAAGCTGCTGCCCATACTCGGCGTGCCTTCACTACCTTCTTTTCTGGATCGCAGTCCTCCGCGTCGTGGACTACCGAGTCGGCCTAGCGCCGCGCGGTGGTCCGAGACAGGGCTCATAGGGCTCTTTGCCGCTGAGGGAGGGCCGCCGGAGCTAGTCATCGACGACGCCGTCTCTGTGGTTGCGATCGACTGTACGTCCATGGACGTTTGTCTGACAGGCGGAGCGTTCCTTGCACGGGCAGGTTGCAGAACCTTTTGCTCCTTGCTGCTACTAGCTCGGAAGCGTGAGTCTTGCGCGTACTTGCTATTGCTGGGTCGGGTCTTGACTGTTGCAAAAGGTAGACTTGTCTCGTGTGAGCCTGAATCGTCAATCTCTTGCGTTCCGTCTCCTTCCTCAAACGTCGAAAGCTCTCGCGGTTTCTTTTGCTGGAAACGCGGCGGGCGCTTGAAGAGTTGGCTTCGATGCGCTGGATGGTCAGTATCTGAAAGTGATGATGAGCTCGAGGACGACGAATCAGGAATGTCTGGAGAAGCTGCTTCGTGATTTCGATAGCTTGGTGGTGAGATTGGCGCATTCGCCCGGTCATCGGACCTTCTACTTGTCAAGTTAGGTCGCTGAGTGGAGCGTGTAGACAAAGTTCGAGCTGGTGCCTGAGTAAGTGCCCGGGATTGAGTAATCGTGGTGGTAGATGGTGTCCTCGAGAGCGAAGGTGCTAAGATATGTAAGAAAACATGTCTACTGCGGCATCTGAAATGCTTGTCGAGAGACTTACCGGGTATCACTACCTCTGCGCCACGCAGACTCGGACTGTCCTTCGAGCGTCCTGCTAACGCGGATGTAGTCCTCCCAGCTACGTTTTGTCAGCAAGATCAAATAATGCTGATGATTTACATACCTCCAGATCCGGCACTACCACCCCGTCGCATCGCAACGCCACCTATAGCAGTCATCGTGCTACCACCAGTCGGCGAAGATGACGGGGCAGCATTCGAGATGCTGACTTTCTTCATTTGGTTACGAACGTGATCTAGATGTCGCTCATATAGCCATGCAGCTTGCTGAAGAAGGAACGTTGGTGGGACTTGGAACTTGTCGGCTCTGTGACATGGTCAGTAAGGCTAATGCATTGCGTAGCGTGCATGTACACACAACTCGACCCCTACAATACATTAGCACTTCCTTGAGATGATTTTCGGAGTGAGTTCTGGATACTTACAGTTCAGATCGCTGGTCTTGGAAGACTTGGAAATAACCTTCCATAGTTGGCGATCCCTCTCAGCATCCCATTGTGCCTATGTCGCGGTCAGAGGAGCCCCGGAGACGCGGACAAATGCCACTTTACCTGCGGAGGATCTTCAAACTCACCCCGGATGAACGGGAGACGTATCAGAGCTGTGAACTGAACTGACGACATTAGAGATGATCTGGTTTAGCTGTAGGGGCGTAGAGTGATGAAAGGGTGGTTGGGTGAGGTGTAGTGATGCGGCTAGGCGATCGAATGAAGTAAGGCGTGAATTGATCTACGCCCGGGCTTGTGACCGATTAGGCCGGGAGCAGCAGTCACGTAGCAATGGAAGTAAACGACTACTCTAAACGAACTTGAAATCGTTTACATGCGTTTCCGATGATAATTGCTCAATCTTACAGTGTTAATCGTGAATAACTGAGCCTCGTGTATCAAGGCAACCATCGCAGCCTGGATCAAGCACCGCCACACCTTCCTCGAGAAAGCCACAGCGGCCCCGCTGAAGCACAAAATACTCGACGCGGGATCGTGCATAAATCCCCACCAAACACAGTCACTCCCCGAACTCAACACCAGGAAATCAACTCACGGGAAAAAATGTCAGCTCAAGCGGTCACCACTATCGACATCCAAGGCAAATTACCCAAGATTGCCTCTGGAAAAGTGCGCGATCTATACGCCATTGACGATGACACACTACTATTCGTTGCGAGCGACCGTATATCAGCGTATGACGTGATCATGGAGAATGTAAGTTCAACCTCACCAAACTTCAATAGTTCATGAGATATGTACAAGAGCTCAGACTAACATACTTCCAGGGCATCCCCGGAAAAGGCGCCCTCCTAACCGCCATGTCAATATACTGGTTCAACTACCTACCCACCAAAGTCCCCGGCCTAAAAACCCATTTCCTCTCCTCAGATCTCCCTGCCGCAATCCAGGACCAACCCTCGCTCAAGGACCGCAGCATGCAAGTTCGACGTCTGCGTATCCTTCCCATCGAGTCCATAGTCCGCGGCTACATCACCGGATCAGGCTGGTCTGAATACACCAAATCGGGCACCGTCAACGGCATCAAACTCCCAACCGGACTTGTCGAAGGCCAAAAGCTACCGGAGCCACTCTGGACACCGAGCACCAAGGCTGAAGTAGGCGGCAAGGACGAGAACATCAGCCCCGAGAAAGCGCGGAGCATGATTGGCGATGCGAAGATTGCGCAGCGTGTTGAGGAACTTTCACTCGCTATCTACAGCGCTGCTGCGGATCGCGCAGAGGAAGTTGGTATTATTCTAGCGGACACGAAGTTTGAGTTTGGCGTTGATGAGATGGGCGAGGTGGTGCTTGTTGATGAGGTGTTGACGCCAGATAGCTCGCGCTTCTGGCCTAAGGAGTCGTGGGAGAAGAATTTGGGCAAGGCGCAGCCGAGCTATGACAAGCAGTTTTTGAGGGATTGGCTGACGGGTGAGGGGTTGAAGGGCAAGGAGGGGGTTAAGGTGCCGCAGGATATTGTGGAGAATACGGCGGCGAAGTATAGGGAGGCTTGTGAGAAGCTTACGGGGAAGAGTGCTTGAGAGGTGGCTGTAATTGCAGTTAGACTCGCATCAGGGTTGTCGAGATGTCATCAGATGGCATGTTGATGTCACATCTGTGCCACCGATATATATCATAGCAGCAATGGAAGGTAGATGAAGACCAGAACTCGTGAGCTATGATAAGTCGGATACCCGACGAAGCCTTGCATGTATATTTACTAGTCTCTCCGGCCCTGTACAAGCCCCTCCCTTTCTTCCTCATCCTCATCATCAATATGCTTCCCCGGGTGCCGATACAGCACGTAATGCTGCAGCATGAAGATAATATCAAACACAATAGTGATGTTGCCCAGTCCAAACTTGACTGGATTACCAGTAACACCACTCCAATCATTCTCCAGTGCAGAATCGATGCACAACTGTGCGAGCGAAAGCCAGCCACCCGCAAAGTCTAGGAGCATAGGGTATATACTCCATCCTAACGTCGACTTGCGCTTGTAATTGACCCAGGCCTGGGGTATATACTTGAGGAAGACGGTGAGGAGTTTGACGTAGCCGAGCGTGTAGATCTATTTCGTATTAGTACCATCCAGGACGTTTGAAAGTCGTAAAGCAGGAACTCACAACATCGATCCACGCCCACCCTTCAGCATCATATCCCCGCCCAGCCTCATTCATCTTAACCAACACCACCACAACCCCAATAGCAAGCACACACCCCCACCAAACCCCTAGTATAACCCGACTAACCTTCTGCCTTTTGCCAATCTCAAAGCCCCATATCCTCTCAAAGAACTGACTATATATAATCACGCACATGACCGCGCCATGTGCCGCGAACAAGAAATCGTTGAACCGCACCGTCGTCTCGGGCGCGTCAGGATGACGAGCCGCATATTGCCCTTTTATCGTTGGCGAGTAGAGGAAGCAGGCGGTGGAGATGGTGTAGCAAGTGAAACCGAGGACGTTGAGGGTGGGGAAGTCGATGGCGAGGCCGAGCGTGGATTTGCGCAGGTAGTTCGATATGGGTTGCGGGTAGAAGGATAGGGACCTGTTGTGGGGTTGGTTAGCTGGGGCTTACAGGAGGAGGGATGGTAGGTGGGTGGTACTGACCACGACAGGAAGTAGGCCCAGCCCAGGACGCGCGATATGGCTCGCGCAAAGGCTTCGAGCTCGGGGGTCATCGTCATGGTGCTGGACGGCGAGGGCTGCACATGTGCGATGAGTATTGTCTGGCGTGCGTGTTCGCCGTAGACGAAGCGAAGTTGGAACAAGTGGAAGACCAAGGAGCGTGTGCTATCATAAACAGCCAGAAAACAGAGACATGTTGCTGAGACAAGTACTCATGGTGAGCGCCTGATGCTGCGGCGTGTACTGTACATGTGCGATTACGACAGAGGAGATGCGCGCATGCCCGCGGGATGGATGACAGGGGTCGGAATGGCTGCTTGCAACGCCGAAGTGCTCATTCGCCATCGGGTTCAACTGTGCATCGTGCCGGCTCTCAATTTAGTCGTATCATCGGAATTGCATACATGCTGTATTATACAAAGTTCGGCATTGTTAGAGACGAGGTGATGTACTTTCCTACTTTACAGCCTTATTAACACTCAAGGTATAACTTTAGTCCCTCTGCCTGTGCCTCGAAAGACTGCTGCAGACTCTCTCCAAGCGTATCCTTCAAGACTCCAGCAAACAACCCGTGAAACACTTCTATCGACTCATACAACACCATGCCATTGCCTATGTCGCTAAGTGCCTGCCAACGCGTCGAGGTAATAGCGAGTTCCCCCAAGTAATCCCATGCCAATCTTCCCAACTCCGGCTGCACATGAGTTATGCGCTCAGCGGACAACTGCGTGTTCAGGAGATTGTCGGGCGTGTCCTTGTTCACTGGCAACGGCAGCGCAGGAATCTGCACGCGGAAGAAGAGGAAGTTGCCCTCGACCGGTCGCTGCTCAGGCAGGGTGATGTTGCCCTTGGCTGAAGTAGTGAGGGCATAACGCACAAACGGGTTCCAGGCTGCGTAGTTGGCGAAGTCGGTGAGTACGTCCCAGGCGGCGGGGACGGTGCTCTTGATTTCTATGCGTGCGGTCGCGTTGAAGACGCCGGGTGCTGTGGCTGGGAGGTTGGTGTATTCGGACTGGGCGAGAGCCACAGGGAGGAGCGTCAAGGAGACGAAGCTCAGGAACTTGGACTTGAACATATTGGATGGATGGGTTGAGGGTTTTCAGCCTGGGAGTTGCATAGTTTTGTACCGGAGGCTACCCGAGGTTTATTGCTACATTAGCCACATCGCTTAGGAGACGATGCGAGTGTCTCCTGGGATAAATGGCGCCGGCTCCAAACATGGTAATCTTCATAAGCTTCGGGGCAAATCTCCCTGGGCGGATTCCTGGGCATGTAAACCAATAACTCTAATGTTCGTACTTGTGGATGGGACGGACACGGACGGACGGTGCCTATGTACTGGCCCAATACTTGTACATCGCGGACACTAAGCTCACCGCTGGAACTGGTATCATTACAGTGAGGTTGGAGATGTAACCTTGAAGCACGTGCAAGGCGCGGGACAAGTCGCGGCATGTGGGCCATGATATGCATGCGGAGGACGTCACTCCAGTCTCTCGGAATGCATCGCGGAACGCCGCATGTGGCTGCCCAACAACCTGCTCAGGCATCTACCGTGCTCGCTGCAGTCACTTGACATCACTAGCAGCGCGCAATCTGCGAATGACTAGAGTCGGCCAAAGAGGGGCTAGATAGCAGCGCAAAGGGCGGTGCCGGCGGCTGTGATGTGGTGGGCGAATGGAAGGCTGAGGGCGCGACATGCACCTGCATAAGCTATGAGCTGCCCCTCAGCACCGCGACCTGGCCAGCGACACAACTAACTGCACTTACGACGCCCTGCATACATATCTCAACACTTGGAAGCTTAGATAGAGCTCCAACTTGACTCACCTCTGCGCGCCCATCCAGACTTCTCTGCATTACGCGCTGAGGGGCCCCATATCTAGCGTGCCGCGTGAAGCTCCAGCCCCGCGGCTCAAACAACAGCCACAACGAACCTCCCGACGATACCGAGTGACAAGCAGAGATAGGCCCCGATAACGCGCCGAGTCAGGAACAAGGCACCAGTGTAGTTGTGTATAAGTGTCTTGCTGTGCAAGCACGCGCCCGCCACCTCCACGAGTCCTGGTCACGGAGGCGCATGACGCAACGCCCGTCTAGCATTCATCCCAAGTCACCCGCCGCCGTCCTCATCCGTCGCTACCCCCACAACCTCTCTCGCGCCCACGACACCTACCACTTCCTCACGACTGAGCTAGCGCTCCAACAGACCCTTCCACACGCTCTCCCGCAGGTTATATGAGCTCATCGCCCGACAACGCCGCCGAGCATACGACGCCCGTCTCCAACCTCACCTACTTGCACAAGCAGCAGCGCAAGGGCACAAAGGTACAGGACACACCACAAGCACGCGGCCGCAACACGTCGAGAAATGAGTTGGGAAGAAGAAATAAAGCGGCCGGCAAGGTTACGCGCATATACCCGAGAGAGATGTACGTGAAGCAGCACCACCCTTCCCTACATGGGAGGGGCGATGGTAACTCTTGTTCGTATTCAAACGCGACTGACTGTCACAGAACCAAGTCACCTTCGTCAGCCAAACGTCTGTCATCCACGTCTCCACCCACAAACTACCATGCCACTACGTCTCCATTACTATCGGCGATCGGTGCCACTCGAAACACGGCCGCACAATACACCAACGAGTGGGCCAAGTCGGTTCCCTTCTTTCCAAACTCCGGCTCCCCGGGTAATGGTGGCATCGCTATAGCCAGCTCTCCGCCTACCTTTCATAACTCGCCTGGTGCACGAGACGGGCTGTACGCACCACAGGCCATGTCAAACTCACCTCCAGGTGCACGACCCCTGAGCCACCCCAACCAATACACAAACTTTGGTGGACGCGTACAGAACTCGCCTGGAAGAGACCGTAGAGCATCTGTGTACTCGCAGCAAGGTGTTCGCCCGCCCTCGCAAAACTTCATGCAGAACCCGCCCCTCCCGCATCAACCCCAAGCACATTACTATGGCTTGCCAAACATCGACTTCGGCCTCAACAACGGCCAGTCCGATGGCATCCAGCCAGGGGAAGGGGGCTATTTCTGTGGCTTCGATACTCTATCCATGGCCGGAGACGAGGCGGCTCGAACTACAGAAAACGTGCTGCTTGTTGGCTCGCAAGGTGGGCTCGACGTCTTCCGCGTTGAAAAGAGCAAGATGGACATTGTAGGTCGACTAGAAGGCCTTAGAGGCGCTGTAATAGGCGCCAAGATCTTGCCTTGGACCTCGCGGCAAGATCCATTAGCTGCTTCCCGTCCACTGATTGCACTCATTCTTCACGGTCCGGTCGTCAAAGACAGCAGAAGCTCTAGTGGAAGCGGTGCATCCTCCGCGGCTGACGATTCGGCGTCTGAGTCACCTAGTAGGCCGTCCTCACGACATGGAAATCAAGAGGGGCAAATCAGTGGTTACCAAACCACGGTCGAAGTTTACTCACTGAAGGAGAAGCGGAGAATGGCCGTCCTGTATCGAACTCCCCTGATACCTCTCACGAGCCCAATCGATAGCCCTATGTTTCAGCCTCCACCTCCAGTAGGCGACTTCGTCATTGATGCGAAGGGGAAGTTTCTTGTTGTGGCGTCTGGTACAAGTGGAGAAGTCTTCGTATTCGCGCCTTACCACGAAGGTCATTCTGAGTATTCTGAGCGATTCCGCTGCATCGGCAAACTGTGGACATCCGTCCAGAATCGGGAGCGGGCTATACATTCAAGCGGTTCAAGTGCCGTTGACGGCAGCCATGACGAGATTCCTCCGGAGAAATATGGCTTGCCTGTGTTTTCGCTTTCCGATCGTTGGCTCGCCGTCACCCCACCAGCGTCAAGCGCGCTCTACCCTGTCAACGGTATAGCCCTGACTTCACCTTACTACGAGCGCGCTCCGGGCCTTGGGCACCACAGCGTACCGCCTCAGCCGTCCCCCAACTGCGCTGTCGATGTGCCCAACGAAGCAGGCTTGATCGATAGACTTACCAGGGAGGGAACACAAGTTGCAATTAAGGGTGCACGTTGGGCCACCGAGAAGGGAATGCAGGCTTTCAAGAGCTACATGAACAAGGGCCAGCAAGGAGCTAACATGCCGTATGGCCAAGATCCCATGCAGCATTACTTCCCCCCGACCCATGGTCACAATCAGACTCAGCCGAGACAAGAGGCATCTGTGATTTCCATCTACGATCTGCAGAGACTGTTAGACGCAGAGGAAACGAGGAACAAGAACGCACTTCATCCGGTCGCCACTATACCCGCGGCTCTCGGTTGCAGCTTCACGTCATTCGCTCCTAGTGGTCTTATGCTCATGACCGTTAGCAAGAAGGGCGACTACCAGGATGTCTGGGATCTGAAGCGTATGAATTTCCGACGAGCTCGTAAGACGCTGCGGGAACAGCCAACGGGACCTTACGTACGGCAAGTCGCCCGCTTCACGAGAATGACCGTTGCGAATGTCATCGATGTTGTCTGGTCTGCCCCTCGAGTCGACAAACTGGCAGTCATCACCGACAAGGGAACAGTGCACATGTTCCCGATGCCTGCGTCAGCGTTCCAATGGCCACCAGCTCGGCGGATTCGTCCTGCTGCACCAGCCCCACCAAAGGACGTCGCGTCCCCCACAGGCCGCGCTGGTGTGATGAACTCAGCAATGCAAGCTGTCAATAGCGCTAAGCCTTGGTTTGATGCTGTTCGCGCAAAGAACAGCGTCGGCGGAAATCGATTCAGTCTCAGTGGCTTGGGTGTAACCCCTGCCGCTGGCGCAAAGTCCGGCAAAGCCGTCGCTGCCAATGTAGGCAAGTCAATCAACAACATCCGGCATGCAGGCGACAACAAGATGACACTTCCGTCATCGCCTAGCGGTATCAAACCTTACAGCGTACGCTGGCTTTCTGGCAGAGGTCGTGGTTCGATCGCACTAGCATCCGGTGGTGTACTTCAGATCTGGCGGGTGCAGATGAGAGCTGCAACAGGCAAGGGCAAATCATCACATACTGCTTCTATAACCAAGAAGAAGACAGTGGAGTTCGGACTTGCTCCCATCCCAGACACCGCACTGCCACCCTCTATCACGGAGCAGTTGTTCCCACAACCCGGTGATCCGGAGACAACACTTGACTACTATGGTGACTGGCTTCCTCGCGCTTTGCCTTCTCGCAAGCCTGCCGTGCCATCTCTCGCACCACTCAGCTTCTCCGAGATTGAGACGAACCCTCCTTACCAGCCCTTCTACACTGACAAACGTGTCACGCGTTTTGTCTACTCCAGACAAGCACCAGAGGTTCAAGAGAGTAGCAGCGAATACCAGCCCTCGCTACCGGCGCTTATCTCAGATCTCCACCACGAAGATAGCTCGCCTTGGCTCTTTGGTGAGAGCGTAGAGGGAACACGTATCTCCACGCCAATCACTCAGGCATATGACTCCGGGGAGGATGACATCACGGGCGTTGCCGCGAGGATCGAGAACAAGCTTGTTCTTCGAGACGGCGAAGAGGAGGTAGAGCAGGTAGTCGTCACCACACGACGTCGGCGCGTGAAGAAGGAAGGTATTGACGGCGACGAGGAGGGTTTCTTTGAAGACGATTGCGAGGTGTTGGATTTCGCAGAGGATAGGGTATGAGCATGCACAGTCGCTTTGCTTGTCTTCCATTCAACATGTCCTTCCACACACCACCCCTACACTCGCTACCACATTTGCATCAGATCGGGCGTTGTCATCTTGGGTAAGGTGCAGCTATAGGCGCCGGCGTTTCTTCTTTTTGGGTCAGGAGGAAATCGCATCATTAGGATACCACGCAGCCGACAGCGGCCCTCGGCTTGCAACATCAATACATAACTTAGATAGCCAATAGATGGATTGGGAATATAAACCACGCTTTGTTTCACGCAACGAAGGAGGTTAAATGATGTGCTTACAGTCTAACCTTGCTTCGTATATGGCCGTCTTTACTCCATGATCGTGTCTTTAACTCCGTTATCCCCGTCCGCCGACTATCTCTACCGTGCTGGATGGTCGGCAGCGGATGGTCGGGGGAAATACTAGGTTTTCGAAAGAGAATCGAGGGTGCTCATTGGATCCATCCGCGTCTGATTTGCGTGGCTTTTGCACTACGTAGACGTGTTGTTACTGTCCGGTCAAGGGGAATGCATGCTCACGGTCCTGCAGCCGCGCACTACAGCAGAATGTGCAAGTGCTTTATTGCACTTTCGGTTGTTTAGCTGTAGGTAGCGTGTGGCGGTGGAGCTGGAGCATGAACCTACCGAGGAAGCTATGCGTAGTCGTAGAGTTTAGGGTTGTGTGTGGAAACAGAAGGCAGGAGTTAGAGGCCTGGACCAAAAGATATAAAGAGAAGGCTACAGCCGCCAACAAGACAGTATCAAGCTTACATCAGCACGAAGAGAAACATCAGCTCTATATCAAACAGTCCGTAACTGAACAAAGAAACATCAACATGTCTTCTACCGACCAGACCATCGTTCTCATCACCGGCGGTACGCAAACACCTCCCTACTTCCTACTCCATACTTTCTTCCCACCTCTGCCCTCTTTTCTTCACGTCCCAAATTCCCCTTCCATATCTTTACTAACACGCTAACCCAGCCAACGGCGGCATCGGCTTCTCCCTCGCCACCCAACTCCTCGAAAACGCCAAATACCTCGTCCTCCTCGGCAGCCGCTCCGCCGAAAAGGGTGAAGCGGCCGTGAAACAGCTCCAGGGAAAAGGATTGCCTGGGAAAGTGGAGTCGTTGCAGATCGATGTCAGTGACGAGACGAGTATTCTGAAAGCGAAGGATGTGGTCGAGGAGAAGTATGGTCGGTACGTTTACACCCATCCCTTCTCCTATCCCATCTCCATCTCCAATCCTACCCCGGTCCTTCCAAGCAGAACTCAACCCTCCCTCACCCACTAACCTCTCCACCAGCATCGACGCCCTCGTAAACAACGCCGCCATAACCGGCGAAGCACCCGCCTCCGCCTCTCTCGCCACACGCATGACATCCGCGTTCCTAACCAACGCCACCGGTCCAGCCGTCATCGTAGAAACGTTCGCTCCTCTTCTCGCGAAGAGCGCTGAGATGGGGAAGACGCCGCGGATCCTTAATGTGTCGAGTGGAGCCGGGAGTATCGGGCTCAGGAGTGACAGGACGAACCCGCATCAGGCTATGAAAAACGTATGGCCCCCGCTCTTTTCATCGGCTGTTTTGGTAAGATTGGTGTTGGTGGGGTTGGTTTGGTGCACGGGTGAGACGTTTGCTGATATGAAAGACAGTTGCCATACCGCAGTTCGAAATCGGCGCTGAACATGCTTACTGCATGCCAGGACTATGAGTATGGACCTAAGGGGTGGAAGGTGTTTTGCTTCTGTCCGGGGTTCACGGAGAGTAACTTGGGGCCTAGGGTACGTTAGGGCCGTTCCATGGCTTCCCTCGCTGATTTGGGGTGACGTTTGCTAACGAGTGCGATAGAACAAACCGGAGCATGGGGCCAAGCCTACGAGTGAGGGCGCGAAGCCCATGGTTGCTATCCTGGAGGGGGCGAGGGATGAGGAGTGTGGTGGCTTCTTGAAGGCGGAGGGGGGTTGGCCTTGGTGAATGGGTTGAGGACGGTGAGGTTGTGATTTTAGGATGGGGAGTCTGCACGTAGCTTGGGAGATGGTGAGTAGTGTGAGAAATTGAAAGGGGTATCTGCATTTGTTCCTTCATATCTTCGTTCCACCACTTATCCTTACACACGTCGCTTTTTGCCCACATCAGGCCTGCCCATCTCATTGCCTCAAGAACATCTTGTAGCTTGAGCTATCTGTGACTTCTTTGTACGGGTATCCGATATCCTTCAAGAAACTGGCCAACTTGCTGCTGTCCTCCTCTTTGCACTGTATTCCAGCCAGGATCTTCGCGACGTCGCCGCCGTAGTTCCTGTAGTGGAAAAGACTGATGTTCATTCCCGGTTGTAATGTGTTCAGGAACTTGTACAGTGCGCCACCTCGCTCAGGAAATTCGAACATGTACATATGCTCGTCGGCGGCGTTGCTGCGCCCGCCGACTAGGTAGCGGATATGTGACTTTACGAGCTCGTCTTGAGAGAGGTCCTCGGCAGTCATGCCTTCAGCGGCGAGACGTTCGATGAGGTCGGGTAGATCGCGGGCCCTTGTCGCCGCCTTGAGTTCGACACCAACGAGGATCTGAGCTGACTCAGGGCCACAGTAGCGGTAGCTAAACTCTGTGACTGCCATGGGGTGGATGACGGAAACGAGCTTGGCAAATGAACCAGGTTGTTCGGGGATAGTAACGGAGAGGATGGCCTCTTTGTTCTCACCAATGGCGGCGCGCTCGGCGACGAAGCGGAGACGGTCGAAGTTCATGTTTGCGCCGCTGGCAATGGCGACCAGACCACGGTTGCGATCTGGTGACGGGTTGCGGCTCACCCACTTCTTCAGGCCTGCAAGGGCGAGCGCGCCTGCGGGCTCAACGATGGAGCGTGTGTCCTCAAACATGTCCTTGATGGCGGCGCATGTCTCGTCTGTTGTGACTTGGACCACCTCATCGACGACCTCTTGACATATCCTGAATGTCTCCTCGCCCACTGTCTTGACCGCAGCTCCGTCAGCGAAGAGTCCGACGTCCTTCAAGAAGACGCGCTTTCCGGCTTTGAGCGATTCGACCATGGCGTTTGCGTCGTACTGCTCCACTCCTATGATCTTGACGTGCGGTGCTATCCGCTTGATGTATACACCGGTGCCCGCGATGAGTCCACCGCCACCAACACAGCAGAAGACGGCCTTGAGGTCCTGCAGGTTTGTCTGTCGCAGCAATTCCATGCCAACCGTACCCTGACCTGCAATGACATACGGGTCGTCGAATGGCGGTATAGACACAAGCCCATGCAGCTTCTCCAATCGCGCAGCTTCGGCCTTTGCAGCGTCGAAGTCAGCTCCATGTAGGATGACTGAGCCGCCTAGCCGTGAGACGTTCTTGTGCTTGATATCGGGCGTTCCTGAGGGCATGACGATAGTTGCGGGAATCTTGAGCTTGCGCGCAGAGTAGGCCACACCCTGCGCATGGTTTCCGGCACTACAAGCGACAACACCACGCCACCTATCCTTGGGATCCAAATGTGCCATCTTGTTGTATGCGCCGCGCAGCTTGAAGCTGAAGACGGGCTGGAGATCCTCGCGCTTGAGCAGGACATTGCATTCTAGCCTGTTGCTGAGATTGGTTGCGTGGGTGAGGGGCGTTTCCTGCACGACTTCGTAGACGCGCGAGGTCAGGATGAGGCGAAGGTAGTCGGGGTAGCCGTTGGGGAGAAGGAAAGCGTCGGGTATGACATCGTTGGTGCGCGAAGACGTCGATTCCGAGGGCGGACTCGGGTTCGCGCTGTACTCGGTCAGGGCGAGGCCGTTCTTGGGTGTGCGGGGCGAGACAAGGCCATTGGGACCGTTGTCGGGCGTCGTCGGCCGTGAGTAGTCGGGGACCGTCGTCATTGTGGTGTTGTGCCAGAAGTGCAGCTTGTTGAGCTTCTCTTTGTATTTTTTGGGCGAGTCATCGGAGGCTCGGTCGGCCTGCATCGGAGGCAGGGGTGTGTCTAGCGTCATGGGGAGCTATGGTGGGGTAGGGAGATAGCTTCCAACCTCCCAACTTCATCTCATCTCGCGTCGGATGGCGAACTCTCCGACATGTCGCGCCCAACATCCCCTTTTGAACTTTTCCCTTTGCTTCCTACGCGTTTTTCTCGTGTCGTATGCTTCCGCCGTCGTCTGCATCTACTAGTTTCGTTTGTCGCCATGTTTGCTCTCGATACCTCCTGACGGTCTCCGCGTCATCCTCTTCTAGTATCTGGCGTCGAGAAGACACGCCACGGACTCCAGGCTCCACTGGCGCACACAATGGCTGGCATCTATACGCCCCCCGTATGCTTCACAGCCTCGCGGTGATGCTAAGACGCGCGCGCGGGGTGACGACGTAGTACCCGGGGGAGGCTGCAGTAGTCGGCTTGTTGGTGTGGTCCTGAACGACTAGGCTGCCCTCTTCCAGCTCCGTTCTGCATATACGGGTGCGTTGGCGACCTGTACGACGACTTGCAGGAGAAGAACTGGAGAACGTTACGGACGAGCCCACGCGAGCGGCTAGGAATTCCCTCATTTCCGTCGTTTGAGCTTGTTGTCAATGCCATTGGAATGTAGGGCGAGGTGGTTTGCATGTGGTGGTTGAATTGTAATCGGTGGTCACGGTGGCGGTCGATCGTTAGTGCGGAAAGGGCTGAAGCTTTGCCCGTGGCTCGATCTGAAGTTCACAGTGTCACGACCCACAGCAACTCGTTCTTGTTCAACTCAACTCAACCTTCCGGATCTTTCTATACTGACAGAGCAGACTCAGCCAGGCCATCTAGAGCTGGAGGACCGCATCTATGTCCGCTCTGTCTGCATACCTCGAGTGGCAGGATAGGCTGGCCGCCTTCTGTACGCTCGAGCGGAGAAGGCCTCGTCAGTTACTAACGAGAACAGGATCTCGACTACTCTTGTAGTGAGCTTGCTGTCGCGCCTCTTGATACTCTCCGGGTACTCGAATCGTTGACGCGTTGTTCGCGGGCTTGACTTCGAAGATAAGGCGGACTTGACCTCATTGCCGACTATCCTCCGCTCGACCTTCTCCGCAATCTCCGCACACCACAGGGCCGCAGTCTCAGGAAGCTCTCCTTGGACTGCTTCAGTGGTCATGCAGTACGCGCTGCACTATAATGGGAGCCTGGGCGTTGCCGTGATGTCCCAGCGGAGCAATCCAATTCTCCGATGCTCGGACCAAACACCCTGCTCTTGCAAATCGCCTCTCCATCTGCTCTTCAACCACGCTCGAGAGTGTTCTTTTCGATTGCTTCAGTACTATAGAGCTGGCCATGAAGCGGACGACTCTCTAGGTATGCGCTCCCACACCCTATGAAGGGGCTACCTTGCTGACCGAACACAATCTTCAGGCCGTATCGAAGGGTTCCTGTACGATACCACTTGCCTTCTCTTTACCAGGCATCGACACTCGACCCTCTTCCGAAGGACCATTGTGATCGACGTCGCGCTTTCTACCTCGACCGCCATTGCACCGCAACTGCCACCAACTATAGGCAGAGCATCGTCCGCCGTCTTACCCCCGCGGAGGAGGCAAGCGAAGAAGTAGCAGCTGGGTTCCAAGCAACGGCGGCTTCAGCGGTCATACTCGTCACCACAGGACAACTCGAGCACTTGCGCCGCATCTATGGAACAAACCACATGTAATGTGGTCGCCCGGACGGACTGTTCACAGGTCGCGAGCGTTCCAGTCGAGCAGCAAGGTGTTGCTGCCAGCACTTTTACCTCCAATGCCCCTCCAATGCAAGTGCTGGAAGATATCCGACAGCCATTGCTTGGAAAGCTCCCTTGCATGGGTACCAGGATCGAATTTCAGACGGAAGGCTCGCACAGCCAGGTGGCCTCCGTCATCCAAGAACAGTTGGTTGTTGATCCATCTCTTAACGAAAGTCCGGTCGCAAGGAGCGTCTCTACCGAAGACCATCCTGTCTGTATTGCGGCTGGCTCCGAGGTGAATTACTTCTTCTTCGTAATCGAACCCAATCTCATCCGAGCCTTCGAACGCTTGTGCCACCCCATCTTTTAAAATTGGATTGAAGCGAATCTTGAAGTCGGCCAGGTTGTATCGGTCCTCTCTCATCGATGTGGAAATAGCCCAAACATTCTGGGACATCGAACCATGTCCATGATCTTCGCAGCGAAACACGAACGTGTTCTGAAAGAAGACGTCTCGGATCATGTCGCCCCATTCACGGCAGACTCTACGAAGGTCGAGTATCTTGGGGATTCTCGTGCAGGGATGAGATTGGGCGTCCCAGTCACTGACCATATATCTATCAATATTGATACGATGTGTTGGAAGCGCGAAGGTGGCGTGGAAACGACTGGGAGCATGTGCAGATGGCTGGTCCTTCAGTGCCATGATGATCGGGCCTCCAAACAAACCAACTCGCTTAAAGATTTTGTCGAGCACTTCTGCCGGCATATCAGCTATGCCCTTTGCAATTGTTCCTGGGTATATGCGGCTACTTGGGATGTATGGCGGTGTATCCCAGTACAATGGCTTGTTGAGCAGGTAACGCTCCGTTGTGAGCATACCCTCTTCCCCGGGCGGAAGAGTGATTCCATATCCCATTGGAACCCCTTTGCCTTCTGGTTTGCATGGTGGGGGCCAGCCAGGAAGGTTACCCTCGAGATATCCATAGTGGGGAAAGAGACGGTCATATTCGTCAGATCGCTCACCAGCTTCAGGACCGAAGATGTGTCGCCACTCCATGAGTCCATAAAAGAGGAAGAGCTGCTGGCATTGGCCAGGAATGTTGCACGTATTGAGCGACCGCTGCGGAGATGCCAAAAGCACCAATAGCTTGAGCTGCGGGATTGAAAATCCCGGTCTGGTGTTTGGATCGCTATGGGCGGCATCCCACGTCGTGCGCAAGTATGTACCTGGAGTTGACATCTCCCTAACGAACCAGGAGACGTCCTCGGCGCCCATCGATGTGAGCCGCAAACCAGGGAAGCGGCTGTACACTTCAGCTACCTCGCGTTTACCGTCGTCTGTATCTCGCCAGGTGCGGAAGGCATCGTCCAGCTCTTTCTCGTTCGCTAGCCATGCGTTGTAGGTCATCGCATGCTGCCCCTCTCTCCAGACTCGTTTCTCTTCCGTTGTAGTAGGGCGGGCAGGCTGGTGCGGGGTCGCGGTGTCCGCCGCGTTCGGGTCGACGTGAGACGCTGGATCTGTTAGCGACATATCGGTCTTGACAGGAGACGACTTACGCCACGACACAGGTCGAGTTGTATGCTCGAGAGCCGCAGGGGTGCTGTCATCTTTGAGGCTGCTCATGGCTGCTTTGGGCCTGGCTACGTGGGGAGCTGGGCTTGATGCTCGGCGCAGCAGTCGATTTGGCTAGTGAGTTGTTGCACTGTCTCGCTCGCAGACGACGACCAGCAGCGAGGCTCGGGCAGATTTATGCTATCTTCTCGGCGGGCGCTTGATTGTTGGACGTCTGTGGCGTGGGGATACAAGCAGTCAACCCCTTCGGCGATCCGGAGAGTAGCAGAGTTGCTGCCGTAAAGCGATCGTATGCTGTACGAGTTGCCTGATCGCTGTCTTTGCGATGGAGATAGCCGGCTGTCACGACGACCTGGGCTTTGAAACCTGGCGACGGGACACGAGGAGGTTTGCTGTTGTCTTCCCGGCGTCAGATGCTCTCCCGGGTGGCCTTCTCGGTGTCCGATGTGTCCCTGGGTGCGCTTTGAGAGCCGTCAGAAGTGTTTCCCGAAGAGAGTGTGCCTGGTGTCGCGGTCGTCCTCGATCTGGGTCGGCGAGGAGGGGTAGCCGCAGAAGTTACAGGCGGCGCCGTTATCGTTACCAGTATCTTCGCAAGCCCGGCGCAGGTGTGCGAGCTGATGAAGAGAGTTGTTGTCGGGGCTGTCGCCGTCTTTAGTTGTGGCTAAGATCGCGATGGTCGAACAAGGCCGCGGAGGTGGCCGATGGCGCGGAGGTGCTTATGGACGTCTCGAATTTGTCGCACTTGTGCTGGTCACAATCTACGTGCAGAGAGCTGTCGGCGCAGTGTCTGAAAAGGAGGACGTGGTTGTGGGTGGCTGTCGCGTGGTGAAGCTATCAAGAGTTCGGAGGCGGAAGTCGTCGTGAGAGACGGACGCAGACAAACATCGAACTTGGTCGCCACGCTAGAACGTCACTGCAAAGTTCAGACGAGGACGACGGGTTTTCAGAATCATCAAGGCAACGCAGCCTGTATATAGCGACTACGCCAGCGACACAGATTATCAGTCGAATACTAGGCGCGAGGCTTGCAACCCGGCCCCTGGCTTCTTCTACATCACGCACGCACGATTGGTCTGGAAACAAGACTGGCGCAAGAGTGCTTCTTCCGACTGAGCTGCAGTATATCATTATACATGCCTGTGCGGCGTCTAGTAACCAACGCCTCCTCCAAGCGGTTGCATTGCCGTCAGGTTTGCCAAATACCAAGTCTGTGTACCCTGAAGACCATCGCGTACATGTGCTCTATGATTCCCCCTCCAACATGGTCTCTCTCTATTTCCGGGACAGAATGAAGGGAGCGCCGGGAGGAGTCTTGCTCGAGAGCCACTCTGGGTGCTCGAGTAGGATGAAGAATGTTTGGATCATTACCTCGCTCCATCCCTTGGGGAGAATCCACCATGCCTCTTCATGACCACCAGTAAACTGTATACCCTGAATGGCAAGGCGATTGGGTGTTTGGACGAAGGTGATGTCGGGGTCCCTGGCCAAAAGCCCTGCATCTTCCTCGTTCATGGTCGGCATTTGCTTCTTCTTGCTGAGAGCCAAGTCTATACCCGTTGTCGCACACTCGATGCCAGCCTCATGGTCCGTTACTACGCCTCCCATGTGCCAATTGTTGCGATATTGAACCTTGATTGATGCGCCGCGCTCGACGAGTTTGGGTTCGATCTGACAGGGGAGAAACCACATAGGCTTTATGCCAAGGTCAACTGGCTGGCCGTGCTGAAACACCATGGGACTCTTATAGAAGGCTTCGAGCATGCAACGCGCAAAGAGCCTGTCAACATTGCGAATCTCCAAGACCTTGCGCACCACCTCCAAGCCAAGGGGCCGGACCACCGGTGGGGTGTAGCTCTTGCTTCCTTTGTCTTCAGTCCAGTGTACCTCCCAAGCTGTCAAGCCAAGGAATGCGGGAATGCCGAAAGGGGAAAAGCCGTGGTATTTCAGAACAAGCACACCATGGATGTAGTTGGCGCGATGGTACTTGAGGATCTTAATCAATATCTCCTCTGGCAGTCTCGAGGAGAAGAACTGGAACGCGGAAGCGACCTCTCCGTCGGTATCTGGCGTCATCGCGTTCGATCTGGGAGCCTCGAGGTGCTGGGCGCGTTCAGGGTGCTGCCGGCGGCTCTGGTGCGGTCGTCGTGGACTGGGCGGAGGCTCGTGGGTTGTCGGCGGGCTCGACGTGGAGATGGCGATCGATCTGCAGGAGGGAGACTGCGTCGCAGATGTCTACTGGCCGTTGAAAAGGCGGTGGTGTAGTTATCGTGTACAGGAGTCAAGTGCGGGGTGTGCTGATCTGCCTGAGCGCCGACGCGTGCGGTATACAGCGCCGATGACTCTTTGCTTGTGACAAGCTCAACGGTCGCTCTTATGATCTGAGAAGAAGAGCGGGGGATACCGAGGATCGTTTCGTGTGTTGTGGGTGACGCGTAGATCGTGATGCGGTTGCCGAGAAAAGTGAGACATAGACGCACTGGACGAACAACACTGCCACGCCAAACTGCAAGGCCCGAGCGCGATCTCCTAACGATGCTGTCGGTACAGACGACTTCAGTGCTCTCAATGACTCGTATGAGATATGATGCGGGCATCTAGACGCACGCCGGGCAGATGTCACGATACGTCAATGTCTATACCTGGAGGGTCGAGAAAGACACCTACAGCAGAAGTGGCTTGTATCACAAAAGGCTCACGGGCACGTTCTCAAAGAAGAATAATGGGAGGACATGTCTTCGTATTGCTTGGTTTATCTGATACCAAGCGGCCAGCTCCTCCAACGACAAGATGTCTTCTGTCGAGGGCCAGCAACCACAAACGCCGACGCTAAATGCTCATGAGCCCGGAGACCACACAAAACCCCTTCATCCACTCAGCTTTTCCATCGCACCGTACTTCTCCATCGCACCCTGGGTCGACGCCGCCATGGTCAGCGTGCCGTTGCCCAACTGTCCAACACCCCAGAAGTTCTCGGACGCTGGCTGGCCCAGGTGGACCGGGAAAGTACCCGAGAAGATCTCGTCATCATCCTCCTCCTGGACGACACTGACAGGTGCCTCCCGAGCGATGACGTACTTGGCCATCTCAATCCTGGAAACGAAGTTCGCAGGGTTGCCGCCGACGGCTCGCACAATCTGATGTAGTCCTTTGAAGCCCGCAACTGTGCTCGGGCTGCACTGCTGGAAAGCCGCCCAGCGGAACTGACCGTCCGGCTGCTTCGTGTAGACGCGCTTGCCGTCTTCCTTGGCATCCTTGAGGGCGTCGCTGTTCTTGACGCACTGTAACATGTTAGTCAGTCACTAAGTGATATGGAGAGGGGTTAGTACTTACACCAGTTCTGGCACCGTACGACCAGTACGTATTGGTCGCGTTGACCACGCAAGCCTGATAGTACTCCCACACACCCGACGTAGGCGCCGGGGGAGCAGGCTGTTGACCAGTGGGCGGCGGCACGCGAGGACGCAGAGATCCGGTGGTCTCGAAGAAGGAGGAAGGGGGGTACGCGGCAGGACCGAATTCGGCCAGCTCTCGATCCACCATCTCTTTGCGCGCGGCGAGACCAAGCGCGTTGATACGGGGGGCGGTTCTCGCTTTCTCACGGGCGTCGGCGAGGAAGCGTTCCTCGTTCTCGGCGAGGCTCTCGAGCATGGAGCGGTCGAGATCGTGGCGGGCGAGGAAATCGTCTGACTGAGAGAGAGCAAAACGCATTGTGATGATGATGTGAGAGTTTCGTTGCTAAGGAGGGGAAGAGGGACAGAGTTGTTGTGCCTTTTGACCTTGCGCCAAGACTTTGAGCGTGCTAGCGTAGTCAGCCAACGGTCACCCAGGCGATGACCGATGAGGAATGAGGAAGTGACGGTGAGAGGGGCGGCTTCCGAGCCCCTACTGTTCGGCGGAACCTTCCAGACACGAGCAGGGTCGTTCTCAGACTTTTCCGAGTAAAAGTTCGAGGAAAGGAGTTCACTTGTGGATTCTTGGATCACGGGGCAATACGATGAACGTCTCTGGTTATCCAGAGGCGTCATTTTGCAGCCGTACGGCTATCATGGAGGAGGAGGACATACTGCCTGACTGCAGCTCATGCATTGTTCTAATCTACACCGGCGCCTTCATACCCCTAATCCTGCTCCATGGTATTCTTGAGCCAGGTTGCCTGCGCCAACAACCAACCTGGAGCTGGCGGAGTGAACAGCAACCTAGAAGGATATTTGAAGTCGACCGTGACTTCCCCAACGCCACGCAATTTGCTGAGAGCACGAACTTCAGGGGCAGTGCGAAAAACATGTTCCCAAGGTGTCTGTTCTCCTTGTTGTCTAGGGTGGTAGACGTGCCTTTCGAACGCGCGGGCAGAGATTAGTATGCGTAGTCTCCTAATCTTCAATTGATGTTGGGAGAAGTCAACGCTTGACCGCGGGAACTGGCTCGTGCCGAAGGTCGAGACGCATATCTCAACGTCGTGTATGAGGGTCTGGAGACCTGGATGGATGCCTCTTACCCACTTCTGGCCGAAGGACAAGTCGAAGCGGTTCTTTTCAAAGAAGACGTCTCGCACGACTGGAAGCAGCCGCTTTGCGACCAAGCCCATATCCAAAATCTTAAGCATTGGCTTGAGGACTCGCCATGGGAGGCGCAGTCTGTGTTGAGAGGATGCGGGGGTGTGCCCGCAATACAGGCTCCACCCTACGAGACCTTGTTAAACTTGGCGATAGCCTGTCCTCCTCCACCAGTACGTATTCGAATATTGTGAGGAGTATCTCGGTGGGCAAAGCCAGAAGCCCGCGAGGAGGTTGGTTTGGGCCCGCGGCCGTTGGAGGAGAGGTACTCGCGACGACGACGTTGGTTCTGCTGAGCTGCTTCGCAGCGGCAGGAGGGAGCGAGGAGGAGGACGGCATCTTCTGTGATACAGACGAGGGCGGGGAAGTCGAGGTGCGCCAAAGACGTACTGCGATCGGGAGAGGAAGTGCGGAGAGATAGCTTTCCGCCAAGGTACTCGATCAGGCGCCGCAGCTGGACTCGAGGATGGTGTCGAATGTGTGGTAGGAGAGCAGAAGCCAGAAGAAGAGAGATTGTGGGTGATGTTGAAGGGATTGGAGAAGTTGGCGGGGAAGCTGCGACTGAAGTTTCCGCAGGCGGCTTTCACGACAACGAACGGCCGCTCCAATTTAAGGGTCACGTTTGGCGCCCGGATCGAGCCCGGCTTCAAACGCTTGCAAAGCCAAGCGATCACTTGAAGACGTGAGAGAAGAACCTTCGGCTCAAGGCAAATTGAAGTGCCTGGCATTTTACTTCATTCTTCAAGAAGCTCATCCCATTCCACTTAAGAGGATGCACAATCTACAACAGGACAGCAACTGTCTCCGTAGATCTAGAGTGTCTGCTGGTCATCATTTAGCCACAGTCACTGTCACATCACAATTGGATTGCATAGAAGTCGCCATCTACGCTCATTCAAAGACAAAACGTTGAGGCAGATCACAAGGCCAAGAGGTCATACATATGGTTCTATTACAAGATACCGTCTATCTGCATCAGAACGTCGAGAGAGCGCGACACGATCAGTTGCTCTCGATACCAAGCGGATACTCAAGGCTCGTCCGGTTCATCTGGGTTCTTCCAGTCGAGCCGCCTCAAACGTTCCAGTTTCTTTGCCTTGGAGATCTTGGTCGAGAAATTTGCAGGATCTTCACCGTAGGACTCGAGTTCAGGGTCTAGATCTGACCAAAGCCTCACCAGGATGTCGCTGCTCAATGGGCGTAGAGCTAAAGCTGGGTGGAGATATGGCTGATCGTGACTGCCGCGCCTACCTTTGGGCTTTGCCAGGCACTGTTGCAGCCGCGTGATATCGGCCGCTGGGAGTGGGAACAAGGCTTCTACCACGAAGTTGTCCACTCCGCGAAGGCGGCTGAGAAGGTCGAGTTCAGGCAACTGAAGAAACATCTGTTGTTTTTCGGCAAGTGAAAGAGGTCGGAAGGTTGGAGGATCTCGCACTTTGATTGTGACTGACCGCAGCCTGTGGCTCGCTCCAATGATTGTAATCCGCTCTTCGGCATAGATACTCTTCTTCTCCGGGCAGATTACTGGGCCCAAGTAGAGAGACAACTCGACACGCGTTAGCTGCTCTCGGTATCGTCTAGGCAGACTCCTCGTCCATTGAAAGGCATGGCTCCAGGTAAGATCAAAGGTATTATGTCTGAAGAATTGGTCTGGAGCGAGGTGGCGGCATCGTCGATTTGTTGCAGCTACTGCCAGAAGGTCTCCCAGGGGTGGCAGGCGCAGGCCATGATGCGGAAATTGTCCTGAGATCCCGACATAGAGTACAGGTTCTCCAGTCGGGTGGTACAAATCGCTCACGTGGACCACTTGGCCTGGAAATACCAGAAGATTTCGAAAGATCTCTCCCATTATTTCATTGGGTATTTTATTGAGGTCGAAACCATGGCCGGCATGTGCGTTGATTGGGGTCAGAATCGCGTTACCGGTCGTCGACAAGATTTGGAGAGAGTTGGTGCGGGAAGTGGTGAGAGGTCGAGGTGCAGGGCATATGTCCAATGGATAGTGCATGTCCGCCGGCGGCACAGACATGCCGACCCGCGGATCAATCACCGTTGGATTAATGGTGAACCTTGGCTGCTCGTACTAGTTGCTGTCAGCAAGACGTAGGAGGCCGACCATGCTGTTGACTTACAATTTGAGTATCTTCAAGGAGATCTGAGGCAGACGTATCCGAGAACTGGATCCAAGGCATACCTCCTGTATAACCTTGCTGCTGAGGCTCATCCAAGTCGCAAACGTCGTCATCCTCTGGATCCGACAGGTCGTCGCCTCGGTAGCCCGCGAGTAGCCCTCCGTAGCGTTCCTGGAACTCGTCGGGAAAGGAGTACGGCGTGAGCGGTGATAGCCAGGTAAACTCGGGGTCGTCCGTGGTTAAGCCCAACTCAGGGAAGGGGAAGGCGGGGAGGTCTGGCGGTGCGTCGGGAAGATCTTCGGGAGTAGGCGTTGAGACCGGGGTTGCAGCAGTTGATGTCCAGGTAGGCAACATGGTCGTCGGGCTGCCACCGCGTGGAGTCAGGAGGTCGGCGACCGCCTCATGCTCACACGAGGGGTTGACTGTTGTCAGGATCTGCGCTTTTTGTAAGCTGGTGGACTTCCGATTCTACAAGGCTTGACCGACCTGGACCGACTCAGTGAGAGACGTGGAAGCTGTGGAAGCGATCCCAGTAGTACCTACTGGACGGGATCCTAAAGGCACTGGCGTCATCGCGGTGATCTAAGACTTGTGAGTTGCAACGTTCACGTCCGTCGCGGAGGATTGCATACCGTGGCTGTAGAGTTGAAGATCGCGGCTTCGTCCGTAAACGACGCCGGGCCTCGCTGCGCAACCGGATGGAGACCGTGGCCAGTAGGGGAAAGACATGTCGCAGCGAAGAGTAGCAGCAGTAGCAGCAAGTGCGTGCCGACCGCCGCCTTGCCCAGGGGCAAGCGTCCTGGGCCGTACATGGTTGACTGGAAAATGTCGGTAAGTCAAATGTCGCACGAGAAGCGCTGGCTGATGTCGACCTACCTGAGTCTGAGTCTTTTCGATGGAAATATCTTCAGATATGGGTGTCGCGAAGGGGGGATGGTAGAGGAGTGGGGTTGCAAGGCGAAAACACCTTCAGTGCGTGAGCGTATCAGACACGTGCGTTTTCACTTTTCGGTGACGCGTTACTTGAACGCCAAAAGGTCGCCTGCCTAGAGAAGACCCTGGGATGCGACTGGTGAGTCACGGCTCACTGAGATTGGGTTCAGCGATGCCGGAACGATTGAATGTTTGTCTATGTGTAGATGATCTTCCATCTGCGTCCCAGGACCGACATCACAGAAGACTGAAGTCCAAGCCGACCATCGATAGGCTCATGTCAAAGTACAGATGTACTGTGACCTGCTGCATTCCTCGTTCTATATGAACAGGTAGTCTGATCTGGGAACTGTCGCACGTCAAACTGCGCATCTCACGTCGTCCTTTACATGTCACAGACACCGCATCCGGGCAATTCTCATGAAAAAGGTTGGCACACGAAAGAAAAAAGTGTAGTCATTATCCATGGTTGCTACGGAGTCTAGAAGGGGAGTTGCTATTACCGAAAGAGTGAAATCAAAGCCCACTGCGAGATGAGGATGCAGTTTGCAAAGCTGCCTCATGAGTAGTCCGACATCTTCGATCGATATCGGGCAGCTCGTAGAGATGCACAACCGCGTTGCGTTCGTACAAGTCCTTGCGACCATCCCGTGACAGCACGTCATGGGAAGTTGCTAAGGCCATCAAGACCTTGAACGCCTCTATACTCCCAAACGGGAAATTATATGCCCAATAGACGTTGTTCTTCACTGTAATTGCAGGGAAGCAACCCGATCTTCGGGACAGGGGTACGTTGCGTGCCTCGACGAGCGAGGGCTTACTTTAGTGGCTAGATAGCGGACGTGCGTGGATTTTGCCTGGCCACGCGACATCGACTTTTCAGACTCATATTCTGGGCAGGCCACCGCAAGATTGGACTCGCTTCTCAGATAGACGACGGCGATTACCCTCAAGACTTCGAACGTACGCAGGATAGCCCATTTGGTAACCACGCCTGCCTGCGAGCACTTGGTGCATTTACCGCGTAGCTCTGCGATTAGCGGGGTATACGATCAGTATCGCACGAACAGCTGCGTTGGAGATACTCTGGTATCTAGCGGCTAGCCCTGAGATCAACAAGAAGACACCGTACGGCAGACATTCGCTCATTTGAGATGCGACACTAATACCCAGCCAGTTGCAACACGTACGCCCGCAGCAGCCACCATCACACACCTGCTCCGCAACACCATGGCCGAGGAACCTTCCAGATTGGCGTCGCGTCAAGACCTGTTGGTCCAACAGCACTTTAACGCCGAGAAGTTCGACCATTTCCTCCCGGGTGCGCCACACGAGGGTGACTTCCGTGCAGAAACGCTGAAGCCGGAGTCACGACTAGGCGCCTTTCTCCACGACATGCATTCTCACAGGGGCAAGGGAATGAAGATCACGGCCACTGAAATGATCACTCTTACACTCCTGCTGTCTAAGTCTCGGAAGGCGACCAAAGCGGAGATATTCCAACGTGCTACCGAACTACTCAACTTTCAACGAGGTTATTTCTGAACCCAAATAGCAATGGAGGCTTACTCCAATGACATAATCACGGAGATGGATGCGTACTTGCTTGAAGAGCGTTCCCAATACGAAGTCAAGTTCCCATCCGAGAGCCATGATCAGCTGCGACCAGGGCCAAGCATCCACGGCAAGAACAACAACAGAACCCTCTGGCCAGTCTGGGCACGCGGAGTTGGCGCTGAGATGACAGAAGAGGAGAAGGATCCAGAGGGCGAGACGCGCTACAACTACGATTATGGCTCATTCGATGTTGATTGGGCTGATCAATTCGACATTGAGATGAATAGTCGCCTAGAGGCAGGAACTGGACCGGCTCACTGTGTCTATACACTACCCCCGGGCATGGAGAACGAAGTCTTTGCGTCCTTCCACAATACACAGCTCAAGCAACCCAACTCGAACCTCGACACACGATCTTCAGACACCGCACGCGATTACTTCAGCGCGCTTTCAGCAGAACTCAAGGAAAAAGTCGTTCGACTGGTGCTGAAATTCCCGACCAAAGTCAGGATTGCAGCCACCACTTTCACCAATGAAGACTGGACAGAAGAGCAGGGGGATCAATATCTGAGCCCGTCGGAGATCATGCCATATTCTACATACAAGTTCTCGTCACAGGTAAAGGTGCCGAGGTCCATGGTTCCTTTCAACGCCGCCGCAGTCCCGGGACCTCATTACTACTGGACAATGGAGCCTCCTGAAATTATGCTAGCACTTTTGGCAGTCAACAAAGAGATGCACAAAATTAGCAAACCCGTGTTCTACGGCGAAAACTACTTTGAGATCAAGGATGGCATTTTGGGTCTTCCCTATCATAACTTTCAGGAAGGAAGTTCCATAAATGGCACCCAGCTAGCGCATCGCTTCCTTGAGCTCATGATTTGGCCGAAGGCGCACGATGGTACTCCTCGATACGGTCCCCGCCCGCTGGAGTTGATGCGCAAGATCAATGTTGATATGGAGCTTTACCCAAATGGTTGCGGCGAGATTCCCGGACAGTACGCATGGCATTTCGAGCGCATAATCAACACCTTGATTATGATCCCCCGTCTCCAGAAGCTCGTCATCAACGTCCGCATGGGGTTGTTGGACGTTCTCGGAAATATTTCGCCAAACAAGGAGAAGATCAACCCGTTCACCAGCCCAGAAGTGTGGCCAGGATGGCGCAAGCTACCTTGGGCAGCATCCGCAATTCCTGTTGAGAACGGAGAAGATGGAAAGTCAGCGGCCGGACTCAAGGTCTTCGTCCCCGAAAACCGCAATGTGGAGAAGTGGCTCCAAAACCTCATCGACATGCCCGATGAGGCGCCAGCGAAGATTATTTACGTCATACCCGAGGATTGGTCTACAGCGGAGTGTCCTTCAGTGCTGATTACCCAGGGCTTGCAGAAAGCTGAACAGCGCTGGAGGAAGGCCTTCAAAGATGACAAGGTCATGGAAGGAGAAGACGAGAGCACTGAGCATGGAACCGACGGTACTGAAGAAGCTGAGGCTGTGATCAGCGCGGCATAGTGAGTCCAGGGGCGAGTACGAGCAACGAAGTTAGGATTGGTTAAAAACTCTAGGGGCAAGTCTGTAGATAGCGGCAAAGACATGTACACCTACTGAAGCTAATTGTTGAGTACATCGATCGGAGAATGTAAGCTAGCAACAGCCTCGTAGTCAACGGTGTTAGCTGGTATTGGACCCTGTAATTCAACCTCACCCTCGCCGTGCAGCCTCTCAGTGCATGTATGTCGCGGCTGGACCGCCCAAATTGCGCAACAGGCGCGCGTTGCCCCTGCCATCTTCTTCGAAATGTGCCGCCACTCTTGTGCGTTTCGCTGACTGGGCGTTCGCGGTCGATGTTGCTGAAGGTCCCCACGCCCGGGACCGCGGTTGCACAAGGAGCCGGTGTTCTGCTGGTGGGGTCGTGCGTCTCTGGACATTCGGACATTTCGAAACACCGTAAGCCACCGTTCAGATGCCGCAAGCACGCTATCAGCCGGACAGCGTGTTCGCTTCGTACAAAGCTTTCTGCGTTGCGATATCCGAAATTTGATTGTTCTTTGGCGAGCGAGAGGCGAGACTGAGACATTGTCCGAATCACCCAGGTACCTAGGTATTGCATGCCGTCTGACGACCGTGAAGTCGATGTTTCAAGGCCACACATGAAAGAGGCAGTGACAACTTTGCGAAGATCATCGGCCTGGATAAAGAAGTTTGCGCCAAGATTGCAAGATTGCTACTCGGCCATACGTTGCGGATGCCCAGCCCAGAATCCACAAAGGACTCATCGTTGTGCGAAGATGACACTGTTGCCCAGCAAGGTGCGTCGGGGTTGGTGAACGGCCCACCTGCGGATCACACTCTTGCTTCGTGCCATGCTATCGAGACCTAGGATTCATCGCTCTTGAGATGCTTCTCGACCAGATATGCCAGCGATGCGCTGTGCTAGCATCTTGTGTCGCTCTGGTGGGCCGCGGGGACGTGGGTAGACAAAGTAGTAAGACCGGCACTAGTTAAACGTACGACCCGGAAACCAAGCTTCCGGTACAACATCTCTAGAAACAATCAAGCCTACGCAGATAAATAGTTGGAAGATATGTTTTAAACATAATAGGACAACGGTCGAAATCGAAAACTGCGCCCGACGCATCTCCAAACTCATGGCATATCTCATTACTGGGGTGGTGACAATAGCGTCGCTATTCATTGCTTCCCAGCTATGGTACTTCACCAACAACTATCGAGCAGCTCGCGCGACTGGACTGCCTATCATCTTATGCCCTTATGACCCCGATAGCGTAAGTTACCGCTCCTCCTGTCACAATATTTACTTGAAGCAATCTGCACACCCGTGTCCGTCTCTTCAGATATAGCTATTCGAAACTGATCATACATTTAGGCGTTCTGGTCCATATTCTGCGTCCCTCTTCGCCCCATGCTTCGCTCTGTCCTCCCCAAATCTATATTTGCTACCGTTGAGCTTAGCATCTGGGGCTGGGAATTCCGGGAAAAAGCAGCAATCCACGAGAAGCTGGGGCATGTCTTTGTCGTGGTTACTACAGGACTCAATCGGCTTGTTTGTGCGGACCCGTCCATGGCCCATACCATCATGTCTAGAAGGAGAGACTTTGTTCATCCAGACATTACCACCGAGACTATGGGGTTCTTGGGTCCAAACATCGTGACTGTAAGTAGATCGCTCATGCTGTTTATCGTGACTAACGCATCGGTCCAAGGCCAAAGATGAGTCCTGGTCCCGCCAGCGCCGTATCGTCGCCCCGGCTCTGAACGAACGCATTAGCCCAGAAGTGTGGAGAGTGAGCGTAGAACAAGCATCGTCCATGGCAGACCTATTACCCTCAGTCTCCCCACCTCATGCTGCCAAGGGACCTGCCAAGATAGTTCTTGGTCTTCGTACGATCGCGATGAACGTCCTCGGTCGTATCGCGTATGGGCATGACAAGCCATTCGCTTTATCTCAACCGTCGACCAAACCGTCAGCAGACATTTCATACGTGGATGCTATTTCTTTGGTCACCGACAAGCTCATCTACGCTGCATTTCTTCCTGCCAGCTTTCTATGCTTGCCCTTCATGCCGCAGGTATCACAGCGATTAGGTACAGCACTGAAGCGATTGCCGGGGCTAACACAACATATGCTCAATGAGGAGCGCCAGAATAATGCTTCTAAGTCGCCGCATTCTACACAGACGACCGAAAGTCCAAACAACAGCCGAGGCACCATCATGGAAGAACTTGTCCGCCTTTCGGACCAGGAGAAAACCCGCACAGACGCTTCAACACCAGACTCGTTGGACAAGGTTACCAAGAAGTTTCTCACCGAGGAAGAAATCGCAGGAAACCTCTTCATCTTCACAGCTGCTGGCTTTGACACAACCGCAAACACAATGTCCTATGCCGTCGCGCTGCTCGCAGTGTATCCGGAGTGGCAAGCCTGGATCCAGACCGAGATCGATACTGTGCTTGGAGGACCTGATATGTCGCCAATAGACTATGCAAGTGCATTCCCGAAACTTGTTCGCTGTTTAGCTGTTATGGTAAGCTACCCAATATCGACATACTGCCATCCTTGAACGGCATTCTTCAAGGACGGCTAGCTCCCTAGCCTCTACTCCGTGAGCTCGGTGCTGACGATTCCACAATATAGCTCGAGACCCTGCGCCTCTACCCGCCCGTAACTCTCCTTATGCGATCCATAACCACGAGTCAGAACCTTGCCTTCGGAGACACGTCATTCCAGATCGCCGCTCCATCCACCATCTACGTCAACACAGCGGCATTGCATACTTCACGCTCAACATGGGGTTCTGACGCCCTGTCCTTCAACCCCGCTCGCTGGCTACAACCCGACACAACAGAGCCCACGCTCATCACACCTGCGCAAGGAACCTTTATGCCTTGGTCTGTCGGTCCGCGTGTATGCCCTGGGCAGAAGATGTCGCAGGTAGAATTTGTAGCGGTTATTGCGACGCTGTTTCGTAGATGTAGTGCGCTACCAGTTGTTCGTGAGGGGGAAAGTACAGATTTAGCGAGACAGCGCTTGCTCCATTTGTTACAAGACAGTCAGCCGGTGTTGACGCTGCAGATTAACAAGCCTGAGGACGTTCATATACATTGGGCTAAGCGATGAGGTGCTTAATGGTGGTACGTCGAGCAGAAGACGAGATGCGGTGTATGAGCAAGATACATGATATATTGGTGTCCGTTGTAAATAGTACCGAAGTAGACTTCTCTTACCTAACTTCGCACTAGATTGGGTCAGAAGATGTGATATTGGTGCTCATCAAGATCGCGCTCCTCGCGCACCGTGCAATACGTTTTGGGTGTAACATCTATGTCAAAGGTCCCAAGCTAACAAAGCTTAGAGATGCAGCCATTGTTACAGCTCTGTTGCTGATACGGTGTAGGGACTGACTTCCCCTTCAGCTAACCCCTTTGCCCATCTCATGAACAGAAACACGCACGCCGATATCGTGAACGCCTGGGTCGCGATGAGGGTGGCTTTTCCTTTCCGGGTGCGAAGATTCGGTCGCGTCAACACACCGACCACATCGTCAACCAACGCAACATATGCCGTAAGATTGAGGGTACGATCGACAAGAGGAACGACTTGTTGCAACATAGGTGTATCGAAGGATACGAAGAAGCGGACGAACCAGCTACCAAGTATCCACGTCAGAGCGATCAGAAATTCCGAACGCCTTTGTGTTGTACCCACAGGACGTTCCCCAATCAATTGGTCGGCGCCATAGCTGCCGAGTATGTCTACTAAGTATTGTATGACGTTTGGTGGTGTACCGAATAGCCGCCCGTAGGTTGCGATAACGCCTGCGCGGTAGAGGTCGTTCTTGCGTGTGAATCGGATGGATTGCTTCGGAGTAGGTTCGGGTCGGTTCGACGGGTAGAGGGAGGATGCTACGAGGTACGTCGGTAGGGCGAAAGACACTACAAGTGGCAGACTGTTCCCGCCGGTCGTAAAGCCAGTGGCCTGAGCGATGACTGGTGACAAGAAAACAGCAAAAGGGCTAGCAATCAAGGGGGCGTATAGGTGAGCATATCGGCGCCAGGCGGCGATGGCATAGTCTGCTTCTCCATTTTCTGGTGCATGTGCTGCTGGAGTAGTTGGAGGCTGCTGTGGCAGTCCATCGCTATCGTGGGTGTTCATGGCGAAAGGGATGGAACACGACGCGGTAAGCTTCGTGTGCTGGGCATCTCTTGGCTTGGGAAGCTCCATCGCGCACAGACACAACTTTGGAAGCTGCCCCTTTCGCTGAGCGGCCATCATCACCACCTTGCCACCCCAACGGAGCTCATATGCTGCACATGTGTCGAGGGGCATCTCGTTATCGACCATTACCTTAACGCGCCGCCTGCCGCAGGTCCAGTTGATGTTCTGCACGCAAACCCCACGATACAGGCCCGAACCTCGCAGTGGCACGCGCGTGGATGGCATGCATATAGCCACTCTTCCCCAACGCTGTTACCAGCATCTGCCAGAGCACACACCAGATGCTCATGCAAGTAACATCTGATGCGACGCGGTGCGATCCCATCGTAGACAATGAAAGTGCCGGCAGGGTCCAAGATCGCCTATGAACCCGGGATGCTTCAACAGGCAGCTGCTGAACACCGAGGCATCGTTGCAACGCCAGTCAAGCCATGTTCATTTCTTTTGAACGTGATGACCAGATCCATGGTAGGATGTGAGGTCGAAAATCGCGCATCACTATAGGCTGAGCTCGCAGAAGCTTGATTTCGCGTGCCGTAGCGTGGCTGTGTAGTTCTTCGAAAATCGCTCATGGCTAACCGTCAACAGCTCAGACAAACGCAGTCGCCAATGGCAATTCTTGAACGCATGGGAAAAGGTCCGACGGGATACCTCCGACGCTTACGGTTTACCTGTTGCAGGACCCTGGCCCCGTGTTGGATTGTATGAGGTATTTGTGCGTCGAATCGCTTCAAGTTGACTATGACAAAGACGAGGAGGACCTTGTACCACACTC